ATTAATCCCAAAGTAAAATGTAGAGAATCAAAAGCCAAACCATTTTGGTTCTTTGCTTTGGTTTTTTCATGTTCATACTCACTCCCCCAAATTCTCTGTAAATGGTATAGAATTTAACCCTATAATGATGAAAAAAAAAAACCATCTAATCTAATCCAGATAAGAACCACATTTAACTCAATTGAGAGAAAGTAAAGAATATCAATCATAAATCTCCATCTACTCAGTGTAAAAACTAAAGTGTAATTTATAACTCAATCAAAAAACGATCAGAAATCCACAAATTGTAATTCAATTACAAGAAAATGAACAAAAGAGAAAACAGATTGGTAATTTACCTTCACATGGAATCCATCAAATCAATGAGCGGATCAGCATTGCGCCTGCAAGACGGGATCTTCTCGAACTCCTTAGCCGGAAACTTCTTCGATATGAAACCAACAAAGAACTCAAGCATATCCGAGTTAGAATCCACCTCGATCGCGCTCACCGAAACCCAGATAAAGGCCAATTTCGCTTGAATCCCACTGACCTCACTCACCGAACCATACCTGAGCTTACCGGTGATCTTCCGATCATAGAAAACCAACTTCTCGAAATTAACATAACACGGCTCTTCAAGCTCGATGGTGAAGACGCTTTCAGTCGAGAGATTGTAGGATTTAACATTGGCCGGTAGCAGACCTTTCGGGAATCCGTACTTTGGGAGAATATCGTGGATATCTGATGACGACGGTGATGGAAGGCCGGGATCGAGAGACGAATCTGCGAGGGAGAGAGGGAGGAGAATGAGGCAGAGGAAGAAGAATAAGAAGAGTACGGCAGTCGAAGGAAACGCCATTGATGGACTCACAAGACGCAGGCGCGACCGCGACGACTTCTGGAGGGAGAAAAGCTTAGTGGATGACGATAACATGCTTAAATTTAAATAATTTATAATTTAATTAAATTCATTTTATATTAAGTAAATAATAATTAATTTATTTTTTTTAAAAAAATAAACATCTAAATTCAATGAATCTATAGATTAAAACATTATTAATATTATTATCTTATAAAAAAATATCAAGTCGAGTTTGTAAGTCATTCTCGTAATTTCAACTAAAATAGTCTAATGATCGTAGAATATTCACTTCACTCTTAAACGTTATAGATCGGTTAAGATTTAACTCGATTTAATCACGTAACTCAATAATATATTAATAAGTTAAATTTTTAGTATTATAAACCAGTAGTTATCAACTTATAATATAACAATAACACGATAAAATTTACGTTCTCGATAAAATTCAAACTCGAAAAAATTAAAAATAAGAATTTTAATCCACACATCAATATCATTTTCTATAAAAAATGTTAAATCGGGTTTGTAAGTCATTCTCGTAATTTCAATTAGAAGAATCTAATCATCATAAAATATTCATTTCACTCATAAACGTAAATCGGTTAAAATTTAACTTAACTCAGTCACGTAACTCATTAATATACTAATAAGTTAAAATTTTCAATTTTATTAAATAAAATATTACAAACCAGTAGTTATCAACTCATAATATAACAATAACGCGATAAAATTTACGTTCTCAATAAAATTCAAACTCGAAAAAATAAAAAATAAGGATTTTAATCGACGCGTCGATATCATTAACGTAACAAGAGAAGGACGTATTATCATTTCATACTCGAGAAAATAATCATATTTTATAATAACATTCATGCATATGTTTTCTATATATTATTATATTTCAAGTACAAGAAATATGAGTATTTATGAAATGCTATTAAATTTAATTGTAAAAATGGTCATTAACATGTCACTCTTTTTTTTTCTTAATTTTATTCTTTAATTTTTCAATTTCTAAAATTAAATTTTTTTATCATTTTATTTTTTTTCTAAATTAAGATAAATAAATATAAATAAATTATCACTAATACATCATTAATTTTAAATTACATTTAATTTAATTTTATATATAATAAATAATAAATTTATTATTTTTAATCTGAAACGTGACGTTATTTAAACATTTCTCGTATTTTATTACCTTATGAACATTTTAGGTACATTAAAATAATTATATTTTAAGTACTTATAAAAGATCTCGAGTACTTGAAATATTTATAAATACTCTTTGTATTTATCGTATAGTAAAACGCTTATGAAACACTTTCCGAGCATATACTTCTTGATATTTTAAGTATTTGAATGTATTTCTAGATATTACGAGTATTCTCATTAACGTTCTACGGTACATGAGGTCTTTTCGTCTATTGTAAATATTAAAGATTTCATATTTAATTATATTGCGAGACTGTACTGAATCAAATATGATCTAAATATTTTAACTACAACCCTTTTGTGTAGCAAACAATATAATCAAAATTCGATTCCATTTTCGATTATATTGCGAGATTATATTGAACCAAACATGTCCTATGCGTCTTAACTACAACCCTTTTGTAGAGCAAGCAATAGAATCAAAATTCGATTCCATATTTGATTATATTGCGAGATTATACCGAACCAAACATGGCCTATACGCCTTAACTACATCCCTTTTGTACAGCAAACAATAACATCAAAATTGATTCCATGTTTGATTATATTACGAGGTTATACTGAACCAGACATGCCCGAAACATAGAAATAGAAAACGACAAGATAGAAAGAAATAATACTTGGCAAGAACGCTTCGACAATTCAACAGAAAGTACCATGTATCCAAACCATCACCATACAGGATAATTGTCTGTTGTCTTTTCATATATGATGCTTAAGTAGAGTTTATAGAGAAAATATATTAGCACGGTAAAAAACCAGTGCTAAAATGTGTATATATCTCCCTTATACATATTACATATATAACATACTTGTACAACTTTGGTTGAGAGATAAGGATTTCTCAGATCAGACAGTTTTTTCAGTTTGAGAAAGATGGATAACCAGCACCAGGCTCTACCATTCTTCTGTAAAGCAGAGGCAATCGTGTTCAAATCTACTCTGTAAGTAGCACCTCGATTTCATTCTTACCAGCTGGGAGCTGCAGAAAAAACGAAAACGAAAACGAAAAAGAGTAAATCCCTTGAGGCATATTGAGGAGAGAAGGTCAACAAATGAAATAAAATTCTACCGAGAGTCCGGATGGTGGGTAGGATCATTTCGTTTTGAAATGATGGCGTTGAAAGAGCAAGAGGTCAATCAATCTTTTGAACTAACACAAGACTTTCTCAAAAACAATACTTTTCTCATGTTGTAGAGGTAAACCTAAATGGAATTGGGAGCAAGTTTGAGTCATCCCCGCTCCCTCAAATGACCTACAGTGGATCAGAGTCGACTACTATCATTGCACATGA